GAAAGTGTGATGGAATTGATTTTATTCTTGTTGGATTCGGACGAGGAACATACGAGATTGGCTGGCCAAACTTGACGCGACGTATCCTGATCATTCCAATCGATTTATTTTCACTCGCGCGACGTTCTATCCATTCAGGCACAAGCCACTAGTCATCGGGTAGGTAGGCGCGCTGCATCTCATAGGTAGGCAACTCGAGTTAAAAGTTATTATCTTAGTATCACGTAGATTCTTACTTCAGTTGAGAACAATCTCAATCTTCCAGTCTGATATCGATAACATCTTGACAGTTAGTGGATAAGGTCGAAACAAGAGACCTCCAAATCCTCATCTTCCTCTCTCTCAATACAATCACAGAAAGACTGATTCTTTGATTTTGTTGAATCTGATCATCTTCATTCTGGCGGGCTGTTTTTTTTCCTTCAAGGCACAACCCTTAGACGTAGATCATGAATTAAGCACAACCTTGAAATCAAACTTTTTTTTAACTGAAGCTGACCTCAAACCTGAATAGTTTTGATATCCAAAGAAGACCTCAATCTCAACTCAAGCTTTCTATAATATCATCTCTATCAAATTTATTTCATTTCCTTTGCGGTCTGTTTGGTGCTTATTCTGTATCTTCCTAACTCTTTTCTATCAACCAAAACTGGCCCATTCTCAGCGTCTCATCAATCTCTGCTGGACGTAGGTCTTTATCGATCCAATTCGATTCATCTTTACCTTTGGATTCCTTGAAATCCTCATCTACTCTCTCTTAGTTTCACGCCTCCCAAACAGGCTAGATTTAGTTTTCTGTCCTTGCGTATTTGTGTTTTGTGCTTGATTGATATTTTAATCATACCAACTCTACATTCCCACTGGTAAGTTGGAATAAGGTCTCCTCCGCTGATGATGCCTCATCATGATAGCTGACAATGGCATTCTGTTGCATTTAGTCTTTCACCAATACCCTTTTTTCAAGGACAAGTCGTCAACTCACCTGACGCTTATCAAAGTTGACGCAGTTGCGAGGATCAATTTTTATATGATATAAGTTACTTTGACCTACACACACACTCTTTCCCATCATCAAGATGATCTTCTTTCTCCTTTCAATCCTACTTCTCTCGAAAATCGCCCAGGCCATCCCCTCCTCTCGGCTTTCTGTTGTCTATCCTCTCTCGGATCAAAGACCTCCCGTTGCACGCGTTGGAGTCCCATTTCTATGGTCTATCCTTCCCGGTACATTCAACAGCTCAGTTGGAAATGCCGGAGTGACTTACTCCGCTACTAATCTCCCTGCATGGGCCAGCTTCAAATCAGATGTAGCCACCATTCAAGGCACGCCTGACGCATCTCACCTCGGTAGTATCAGCGTTGTGATCACAGCTCACGCGTCTGACAATTCAAACTCGGTTTCCGACAAATTCAATCTGCTAGTTGTGGATAGTCCTCCTCCTCGCGTCAAGCGTCCTTTGGATACTCAGCTCGGTGATGGTGCTGTCATAGGCTCCGCCAAGTACAATCATGCCACTAAGGGCATCACTGTGCCACCGAACTGGTCTTGGTCTATTGGGCTTTTACCAGACACCTTTGTGACCAACTCTGGATCTGAAATCTACTATTCTGCATTTGAAGCCGGTACCACTACGCTACCAAACTGGATCAAGTTCAACACTAACACCGCAACCTTTGACGGAGTGAGTCCCAACGAGCAAAGCGATGTGACAATTGTACTGTATGGAAGTGATCATCTGGGGTATGGGGATCTAAGTCAAACCTTCACCTTCACCGTCACTCAACACACACTTGACCTTCTTCAACCTTTACCACCTATCAATGCTACAGCTCAAAGTATTATCAACTATGTCATCCCCATGGTCCATTTCAACGTCGATGGTTCTCCCCGAAATTCAACCACTCCCGTCTCGGAAACGGTCGATTTATCAGCAACACCTTATCTAATCCATGATAAAGATCAACATTCAATCAGTGGTACCCTTCCAGAGTCTCTCTTAGCTCAAACCAATGTTACTATACCCATAATCTTCACTACCCCAAGCTGTCATAATAATGTTAGCACACAAGTGGTCTTAAGAGTGCTTCCCGGCCTGTTTACTGCACCTGTCTTACCAGCCTTACGTGTACAAGCCGGTCAAGATTTCAGTCTCGATTTGAGTCAATACACCTCAAATCTAAACGCCACTTATTCTCTTGCTCAAATATCTCCTCCTGAAGCTCAAGATTGGATTCATTTCACTACTTACCCACTTACCCTCTCCGGTACTCCCCCAGAAAGCTATAACGATCAAAATGCGCCTGTAACGGTGACCTTGGAAGGCACGGGGTTGAATGGCTTAAGGTCTTCGGCAGAATTGCCATTTCAGTTTGATGCTCAATCACCTTCGTCCTCTTCCTCGGGTTCAAGCTTGTCGGATGGTGGCAAGATGGCTATCGCTGGGGTTTTTGGAACACTGGGTGGGATCATGCTCTTGATCTTGATCATGCGGAGCTGTCGGAAATATTGCTCAGCGGATGGGTTGCGAGAACTTGAAGAGGAGGATGTCTATCAGTCGCATTACGCTTATCCTGGAGAAAAATCTGATATGGGTAAGACCGCCAGTCTCAAAGAAACCCCACTTAGCCTCGGAGACACTTTTGTGGGCGTTCACTCACCTAAATGGAAGAAAGAGGCAGAAGCAGGTGGACCGATGATGATGGTGACTCCAAATGAGCTGGCCGTTGCTGGGGTGGCCCAACCTCCTTCAAAGGCACTCAAACGTCTTGACATCTTCAACGTCTTCACCAAACCTTCCTCGCGTCAGCGTTTAGATTCCAATTCTCACCCTTCTCTTCGTGGACTCGGTATCGTCTCACCCGATCACCGAGTAATCAATGTCTTAGCAAGCTCGGACCCTAGAAGTACTGAGGATGACGAAGCCATCGAGGAGGAAGAGGAAGATTACGATTCAGAAGACATTCTACCCCCGGCCAATTACATGCGACATCCCGCCACATCTACTGATGATCAACGCTCGAGTTGGAACACTACCGGAAGCTCTAGTCTGTTCTATTCTGACACACAGGCGGAGGATAGTGAAGCAGCCTCATCCAGAAGTCCTAAAAGCAAGTGGTTGGTCAAACCTTCGGCGTCTGTCCCTCGCCGACGAAAAGATTTCAAACCGCCGGTCTCACAACCTGAGCGTCAATCTGATGGTGTAGACGTTGGAACGATTCGAATGGTAGTCGATCTTGGATCGAGTTCGGATCCAAACACCAGTGAGGATGATGGGATTGGTTTATCTGAGTCTTTTGGTGCGATCAAGACGGCTGCTTATCGAACGATCAGTCCTCAATCTCTTCAATCAGCTCCCGTTGGAGTTCAAGAAGACAGTTCAAATACTTCCTTCAGACCAAGGTTGATTGCATTCAAGTCACAACATCTTCCCAATCGTAGTCAAAGCCCTCAAATCCGTAGCGCTTCATCCTCTGTCATTCATGACTCAATCACCGAGGATGCTGATGAGGACGAGCATCGGTCACATCTCCCACCTGGACAGGGATCTGATCTTGGTGATATTCAAAGATTGAGCGCTCATTCGGTTTACACTCCTCCAGCCCCAATCAATGGATCCCCCGCCACCTCTGCCATCTTTTTCTCCCCTCCCCGCGATCAGAACTGGCAGATCTCATCTCCTAAAATCCCATCACCTCTTTGTATAGGCTATCCTGAAACCGACCGTAGGGATCCCGTCCCCTCATCACACCCTCAAGGGGTGTCTGATCATCAGCCTTCTCATCATGAATCGACAAGTGGGAGTAGCTACACAGCTTCCAGTCCATCTCCAGATCTCTATCGATCGAACTCTGGCAATCAACGTTCACGAAGTCTCAGCGGACCAATCGTCGTCAATGTCGGTGTAGGACAGCCTTTTCACATGACCCCGAATATCAATCCACCACCAGGCGCTCTGATGACCAGTGGAGGCTCACCTGGTCGAAGTCGAAATCAAATCTCATCGAGCAATACTACTTACTTTGCACTGACCTATTACCCGGGTCAAGCTGATAAAGATCGAAAACAACTTCCAGAATGGTTACATTTCGATCCTAGGGAATATGAGGTCAGTCGTCGTTGACTTTTTCCTTTTTTTGCCTTCAAACCTTTTGATGATCTTCATCCACTGACTCGTTTGCTTTCTATTCGAATTTCCAGGTCTGGGGCATCCCAGGCAAAGATGACGTGGGTGTACTTCCGATTCAAATCATCGCACGTAGGTCCATCACTGTTCCAGGTCCAAGTGGTCGTCAAGAGCAAGTGGAAGAGATCGTGGCTCGAGTCGTTTTAGATGTCATGGATCAAAAACCTACCACCGGACCTGGTCATGGTGATGTGACGGTCGTGACGTTTTAAAGAGGAGCGAATGAACCTCATCATCTTTTCAAATTCATCCTTTGAGTTCATGATCCGAATTTTTGTATTCCAGACTGTTGATTCCAATTTTGACTTGTAAACCTTCAACTGCAATTCATTCCCTTCGTTCGTTTTTTTTACATCACATTAATCCTCACTTCGTTCTTTCACCTCTCTTGGTCATCATTCCTCTCTTTTTCTTCATCTCTCTTTGATTCCTCACTCATCACAAGTTCACTTTTTTGAAAACCTATCAATTGATTGTATCTTTTTGAATTCTCTTTTTCTTGAGTTCTTACTTTCTTTTACCTTTTTTTTCGTCTTTCTTGTTTCGCTTTGTTTTTCTGGTGTTTTTTTCTGTTTTTTTTTTACATAATCAAATTTTGGTTTTTTTTGAACATTTGATCCTTTTTAAATTTGATTTTAATGAAGAAAGATGAATCACTTGCAAGAAAAAACAACAACACACACTCTAAAGTTCACCAAAATGAAATCATCTTGATACACTTCTACCAATCTTTACTGGAATCATCGCTGGATTCTAAAGATTTCCTCAAAATTCTTGACACGATCAGTTGATGTTCCGTTTATGAAAAAAAGAATTCGACAATCGCAGGATTTGAACCTACGCGGAGAAACTCCAATTGATGATAGACCGTTGTGATCCTAGAGAGAACATTCTAGTCAATCGCCTTAACCGCTCGGCCAGATTGTCTACAGAACTTTCCCACGGTTCTCAGTACCGGAAAATTTGTTAAGACAAAACAGACAAATACAATTCAGTAGGAACACAGTGGTAGAAGAAATAAGATCAAAACTCTTAAGAAAACTTCAAACTTAACTCTCTTTCATCTTTATCTCCAACAAAGAATTCTTGAAGGAGATCAGACTCTATGGGGAATGAAGCGAAATGAGCTTTCTGTTTCGTTTTGTCCTATTTTGAGTGAATAGGGAGCTCGGATTGATAAGTTCAAAGAGAAATTGAAAATGGTCTGAGGGGTATTGATGAAAGAAGAGTTAATGGGTGTGTGCATTAAATTAAGCTGAGATCTTTGAGAGTTATGTGGTTTGTTCCTTCGATAGATTTTGAAAAGAAATCACATTTTCTCCACTTTATTCTGAATTAGTTGTTAGAGAAGAACTTAAGTATGGTGTTGAAGATGAATCTGATGTGGAAATGTGTACTAAATAAGACTTACCAACTTAATAAAAAAGAATAATAAAACTGTTTTGGGCGAAATCCCAAGGCTTAAAAACCTGGGTGATAAATTACTTGGATAAAAAATATAAAACCCTACGGGGTGGCTAGCGGCTAGTTTGACACACGACAAAAAATAGAACCACATAGAAAAATACAAAAAGGATAAAAAATGAATTTTAAAGAGAAAAATATGAGAAACAAAGAAAATAATAATAAACATAATAATAATAAAAACTTTTTTTTTAAAAAATATAGAAATGGAAAAAAGAAACCCAGACAAAGAAAGGAAAAAATGAAAGAAACAAACAGAAGAAACAAATTTCTGAAAAAGAAAATAGAAACATAAAAAAGAACAAACCAGTAAGACACGCTGAAAACAGAGATAAGAAAGAACTAGAAAAAAGAAATGAAAAAAGGGAAACGGGTGGGTGGGCAACAAAAAACTAAAGCAATGATGATGAGAATAGAAGAATAGAATTTATGGAAATGAAGATGGTAATGTGGTAAACAACCATGACATCATGGTCGAAAATCAAACATAAGAATAAACACAAACCCGGTCCGAACAAATGTATGTAAAGGTCCCATTAATACCACATTCCCATCTGTTAATAACGAGTTAGTACCAACTACTAATCATTTGAAGTGGTTTGAGATCGTCGCTTGACCGTCACAGCTTACTCGGCTCACAAGACAAGTTTAAATTTTGATTCAATCCAATCTCTCGCTGAACTTGATGAAGGGAGAATGATGTGCTTAGAGTTCGATGAAAGATATTATGGAACTGGTAAGCATTTTCTCTAACATTACTATAAGAACATCAATTTCTCATAAGTTGGTCTTAGGCTCCAGCCATTGACTTTGTCAATCTTCAGAACGAGTAGTCTACTAAAAACTCTTGACTTTGGGCTCTTGTACCAGCCTAGTGTCAGCATGCGTGTGGCTGGGGAAGGAGTCCTTGGAAGGAACGCCGAGGGTCTCACAGCTGACCTGGCCGCCAGTCAGAGTGCGTTCTTCCATTCGTTACCTAACATTCCAATTTCCATGTGCCCTCACTAAAGCAGTCAACCTACGATCACAGATGACAAGATCCAGGCTCAGCCATCCGATTTATCGCTTGACAATGCCCATCATGATGATGATCACACCACATCCGATCCACCCCCGCCCTTTAGAAGAGTACTTTGGTTAAAACAACCTTATCGAGATAATTATCAATCAAGATCCCTCATCAATCACTTACATTCCAATAAATCCTTAATCCGATCTCATCATCAATACTCAACCTTAGTCTTATCATCTTTACCGCTCTCTTCTCATTTATCATCTATCACCATCTTCATCGGACTCTTCTTACACCTTCAAAATCACCAAATCGATCCTCAGGTTAGGCTCACGAGCTCTGTCAAGGTCCTCTAGAAGCTTATACTAATCAAGAAGTATTCATCTCCTTGATCTCCTGACCCTAGCTTCTCATTTGGGTCAATCTGTCTATAGGGCTCTTTGGATACATCGTTTACGAAAGAGCCAAACCAGCTCGAGAGCTTAACCGTACGGCTAACTCAATTTGGTATCACATGTTTTCTGAACTCATGATCGATCTCCTATCATTTCCATAGGCATACACACTTTACGATCCACCATCATTCTCATCATTCTCATCTTATTACTTTCTCCTGTCCTCAAGACTTTAACTCTCTCTACTTCCTCAGATTCGATTTATGCTTTAACTACAATTCTAATCTCGATCAATATCCTCTTAGCTGATTATCCTTATCAGATCACGAATCCGAATGTAGACGTTAGGTATAATCGATTGACTCTTTAGCTTTTTAATCCAAATCCCCTACTTAATCCTACTTGATCATCTTTTCTCTTCTCATCTTCTTCTTTTTTTTTCTAGCTTTGTTTCCGCCTTATCACTCAATGCTGCCATCTTTGCATCTGTCCTTTTAGGATCAAGATTAGATTCAAATGCAGGTGTTTTTAGTCTTACGATCTTTGCTTTACAATGGTTTGCTCTCTTTCCAATCATGCGTCGTGATATGATCGTCAGTCATTCTCTCTCGATTCGAACCATTCCATCCTCCTCAAGTTCGTCAGATACTGATATCCATCCAAATTTGATCTTTCATTCTAGCGAAAACATCCAAATTCGAATTTAAGACCCATCATTTTAAACATCTCACTCGGTTTTATTGCCGTTTCAGTCATCGCTCCTATCTCTAAGCTTGCTCTAGCTCTTTACACTTTAATCGTTCCTATAGGTACCTGTTTGGTCTTACCTGCCATTTACTCTTTCGTACAACGTTATAAGAAGTATGTCATCTTCATCTTTTCTCCCAAAATCTTTTCTCAAGAAACCAAAAACCCACATCCACCTCACTCTTCTTGTACGCTTTTAGGGATTTAAGGGGGCCTTGGGATTGTGCTATACCTAGAATCTCTTGAACGCTTTGCTTGCGTCTTTTTCGGGCAACAGACTATGATGGACCATTTCATGATCAGGTCAGCACCTACACTACACCACTTGGCTTACTGAGCTAGACCAAGTAGTGGTACTGTTGATACAAGGCAGCTACCAGAATTATGGAATCTAAATGACTCATTTGATTGAAGAATTGAGTGAAGAGTTTCAGAAATCGGGTGATGGTCTTGTCCAATCCATTCTACGCCTTCATTTTGAATACTCGAACGCAAGATAAGCTTGTCTGACAATCTCTAGCCAATCTTAGCTCTTTTTCTCTTTTGGTAATGTGAACTTGATTTGATCAAGACCTATAAGGTTCTTCTTCTGTATCAATCAAGATGGGTTTATGATTTAGTTGAATGAAACTCACCTGTACGTATCAAAGCTTTTTTTAATATCTTTTCAAGAATGAATGAAATCATGAGAAGAGTTGAATGAAGTGAATCATGAGTTAAAACAAAGTCTAGTTATTCCTAGAGAATTTGAATGTTTTGATCAAGAGTCTGATTAGGTTGAGATTGAATTTCAAAGTACTTAGAATAAAGATCTTGAAGTGAAGTGAGCTTGATTGGATAATCAGATGAGAGTGTGATGTGTTGAGAATTTGAAGATGAAGAAGTCTTGAATGTGGGCAGAGAGAAGTTGAAGTGAAGAGAAGTGAGTTGATGTTTATAGTGAAGAGTATGCTTATAGGTTGGATGACGTGAATTCTCAAAGTCAAGTTCCATCTCGATCAAGTCTCAATCACATCACCTTGAAGTTGAAGAGAAGGAAGTCAAGAAGAAGAATTCATTCAATCAGAAACCATCAAATCAAATCAAATATCAATTCAAATATTAAATAACTCCATCAACTTCAAACACTATATCAATCTCAACATCATGCTCTTAGAAGTTAATCGAAAACTATTGGCTCGATCAGGTAACCTTCTTCATCTCTCCTTCATCTCAAAACTCAAAACTCACTTCACTTCTTCATCTATCCAAAAGAACGTGTCAAGACTGTCGACTTTCATCCAACCGAACCTTGGCTTCTATCTGGTCTCTATTCTGGCAAAGTCTTGGTTTGGCATACTGAAACAGGTGTAAGCTCAGAACGAAAGAAAGATTCTCTAAATCAATCCAAATATCCCATTTCATCTTCCTTTTCACAGAATCTGTTCAATTCATCTGATTCTCTTCCCAAATAGGCTTTACTCAAATCTTTCACTCCAACTGAAGTGCCAGTTCGTTGCGCCAAATTTATTGCTAGGAAAAATTGGTTTGTCTGTGGTTCAGGTTCGTCACTTGATCTTCATCGAGTTTCGTTTGATCTGGGTATATATCTACATACATTTCAGCTCATCATCAAATTTAACCTCTTCAGATGATTTCCATCTTCGAGTCTTTAACTATAATACCTCAGAGCGTGTTTCTGGATTCGAAGCACATCCTGATTACATTCGGTAAGATTGGGGATTAAATCAGAACAAACCCTCAGACTGATGAGCCGTTCATTTAGATGTCTAGCAGTACATCCTACTCAACCTTTTGTGCTGACCGGAAGTGATGATATGACCATCAAACTTTGGGATTGGGAGAAATCATGGAAATGTATTCAGGTTCGCATCCAACTCAACTCTGATCTTCATCTTCATCATCCTTTTTCTAATCGATCGAAATCCTTCACTCCAAAGGTCTTCGAAGGACACGCACACTATATCATGAACTTGGCTTTTAACCCTAAGGACTCCAATACATTTGCTTCTTCATGTCTTGATCGGACGGTCAAGGTTTGGTCTCTCGGATCTCAAACTGCAAATTTCACTCTTGATGCACATGAGAAGGGTGTGAACTATGTAGAGTATTATCATGGTGGTGATAAACCTTATATGGTCACTACTGGTGATGATCGGTAAGTGATCTTGTTGACCGATATGATCGGATCGAGCTTTACTGCTTGTCTTGAGACCACCAAGCCGGGTTTAAGATCAATCTGACCATTTGTTTTGACTTTTGTAACAGACTAATCAAGATTTGGGATTATCACTCCAAGTCATGTATTC